TTTTTTTAATATTTACTTTTAAATTAAGAAATTGAGTAATATATATATATATATTATTAAAAATTTGAATTATAAGCTAGAGTTTAATACCAAAGTTATTGACATAAATTCATGAAATAGTAGTTCAATAAAATTTCGAATGCGAGTCAACAAATGAGATGACATGGCCTTTCACACGTGATCCGTCTCAAAAATGTTAACAGAAGATTGTATTTGGTGCAGTCAACTTTTGTAACTGATGGTGAAATAATCCTATAATACTTGCATTTATATCAATTTTTTTTTACTGTAATTATTTCCAGTACCACGTGTGGGCATGTATGTACACACACACACTTTTTTTTTAAGTAGCCATTACCTAAGAGCACCGAGTCAGTGTAACTGAATCTTTTAAGGAAATACAATTACTTGTGTGTGTTTATATGCAGGACAGAGAAAGATTTGTTTTAGAAAATTATCAACACAAATTACATACAGAATAATTACTATCACATTTATTTGTAAGGTAATACAATATATTTGTCAAAATGCAGTCAGTAGAAAAAAAAATCCCTTCTGAGAAGAATATACACTGAAAGAAAAGAGCTGCTCACCTTCAGTATGAAGATTTATATAAAACACAGCATAAAGTGCACAAGTATGGAAAAATTAACTCACATCAACATTGTGTCTCTTAGATGGATAAATGGCAAACAAAGACAACTGAAACAGAGCCAGCAAACAGCCAATGAAGTTGGGAACCTATAAAAGTAAAACAGTGTAGATATAAAAGTATAAACGTTTTCCTGTCATCACTAGACCAGTTGAGAGTAATAAAAAATACTCAGTCCAGTAAAAGAATAATCTAGATATAAGGGAGATGAAATTTAAATGTTCATATCAAAACTAGACTATGAAATAACAATATCAACTTACAAACAAATGGAACCTCCTAGCTGACACAGGTGCATGTACATATTATTAAAATATTCTGATGGTATATTAGTTAAATGTTAAAAATTCACTATTATCTACACATTCATTAAAGATTTGAGGACAAACAAGACAATTATACAATTTGTGAAACTTACAATTGTCTTGTTTTCCCTCAATTCTGTAATTATGGAGTTTTACCAAGTACTGAGGGTTTCAAATATCATTCATTAAACATTCATATGAAACCATTTATACAAGTAGTTTGTTACATGTGACAATTCATTAATACATAAAAGACTTTCTACATATTTGACAGTTATTCAAAGCTAACTATGCATGACAATACTAGCTGGTTAGCTTAACTGATTAGTATCACAAGAAAACAATCAATTAATCAAAATTTTGTTTTATTATTCCAGCTATTCAAGTCTGATGTGAGAATATTTCATTTATTGAATATAACCCAGTGATTAATTATCAAATTCCACTGATCATGCAGCTCTGCAGAAGAGTTTATTAAAGCTTTTTCACTTAACACAAGAGTTACAATGAGTATGAAACTAAAAGAAATAACCCTAAGAAAGTGATTTGTTTGTTTCAGAATATGCTTATACATGGCTTAAAAAATGGTTACTTTCAAGAAAAAAAACAGTATAAGTGTCATTCAAACATTTCTTCATAACAAAATGTATTTCAACTCCCTAGTGGAAATTTCACATAGTTTAAAAGAATGTATTTGAATAATTTAATTCAAGATATATTTAATTCTGTGATAACTGAAGCAGTAGAGTGCAATCAAGTCAATTGAAACATCTTAATATAGATAGATAGATAAATATATATTCAATAACTGAAAAGGAAGCTTCGTTAAGCAAATATTTTAACTTTTATGTGACCATAACTTTTGAGGAACAATGATTATGTCAAAGCTTTAGTCATTTCAACAATGGCATATTAGTACTGTTTCACTTGTAACATCCTTGGTTTATTGTGTTTACATTTACAATTAACAACCAGTCATGTTTAGGATTACGAGAAATAACTTCCATGTAAGTTCAACAATGAACAACACATTAGAGGGTAGAGATTGTTATTTACTTGTTAAAAGCATGAGGTTGGTATGAATAACAAGTCTTGTAATGGAAAATCCAAAGGAAACTAAGTTATCTGTACCTAATGGGAAATCATAATGATAACATTGGACCATACAAGTCACTGTAACAAAGAGAGCAGAGTTGACGTGAAGTGTGATCATTTTTATTCGTCTCATTTATCATAAATTGCGGCATTAACAAGTTTAATAAATAAACCTTGCATATTTCAAATGCAACTACAAATCTTATCATACAACTTAATTTACAATTAACAACAATTCTATTAATGTACTTTTTTTTTCACAAGGAAAACTTAGCAGAACATTCAGTTTAGTTGGTTGTGTGGAGTTAAGCACAACGCTACACAATGGGCAATCTGTGCTCTGCCCACTACGGGTATCGAAAACCCAGTTTCTAGCAGTGTAAGTCCACAGACATACTGCTGTACCACTGGTTGGGGGGGGGGCGTAACCTTCAGAAATGACATCGATGTGCAGACAATGACATTGTGAAATAATGGAAACTAGTTACAGCTTCTGACTTATGCAGTATTGTTTCTCTAAATATTTACTTCCTTTTTTTATACAAGTTGTTGGAAAGCAAACTGGAACTTATTCATGTTACAATATAAATCTACACAAAACTGACTTAAAACCATAAACTTGGAAAACTGTGCTGCAAAATCTTATACTAAGTTTTCTGTGAGATGACAAAAATGATAACTAAAGACATTGTGCTTAGCTACTATAAGGCAGTTTTCAAATTAAAGATATCATTTAAAACAGTATTTTCAGAATATTTCTATTACAAACTCATTTTATGATCTTACCTGAATATATTTGTCGTTCAACAAGAAACCATATATAAACCACAAAGATGTTACCACAAAAGTAGAGATGATGATGGGAAATGGCAAGTTTTCAACACTCTTAGTCTTGATAACATCAGCCTAAAAAATTAACATTTTACCCACATTTAAAATAATTTAATTTCTTATTGTTAAGAAACAGATAACATATTTTCATGTCATTGTTACTGTTAGGAAACAAATTCATCCTAAACTTTAATAGTTCTAAGCAAAATTTATTCCAAGTAGCTTTTTGCTATTGGAATTGCGTGCATGTTTAAGTTTTGGTAAACATTTTATCAACCACCTAATCCTTTTAGCTACATATTATATTGTATAGTATACATATATTGATGAATGTACTCTTCTGATATTTATTTACATTTATTCTAGTTATCAAAAGATGCACTCGTACTTAGTAAAACTTATCAATAAGAAATTATCCTAACTCTTTAGATACTGTGAAAATGCCCAGTAAATGGAACAAACTGTCACATATCTTGATACCAGAAAAACTAGTGACACATTCATACACTCTTCAGTCAGGTTTATATAGCATTGTACTCTAACATCTAAAAGCTCCAAAATGCTTCCAGACAGTTTATGTGAAAAAAAAGGGAAGACAAGTAAAACTGAAGAGGATGCATAAATGTGCTGAAACTGGTTTCTTTCATATCAAGACTTCTGACAACTTATTTCATTTATTGTGGTTTCTTCACTATCTGCTACACATGATATTGTGTTCTTTTACAACAAAAATTGGTTTACTTGAGAATGTTAGATTCACAAATGACTGGCCACATAACAAATACAGAGATGTGCTATTTTGTTAATAATCAGTTTATTGGCAATAAAAGTGGTTAATCAGAATCAGCTGATGTCCAATAAACAGCCAATTATTAACAAAATCAAAGGTATAAATTTTGAAACCTTCAAAGAAAACTGAAAAGAAATTAACAGACCAAAATCACTTTATGTGATCTTAATTCACATGTCAATTTTCTATTAACAGCTTCAAAAATTCCTCCCACTTTTTGAAAATATCCATTGTGTTCTAAGTTTACTCCCTCAAGTATCTTTACCTTATCAACATTCATAAGAACATTAAGTCTACGTTTGAATTGTTGCCTTCCTTCTAAAGTAATTGATAGGCATTGTGATGTGATCACTTCTCTACAATCACAAACACTGAAAGTTATTAAGCTTTAATTGTTATAATTCATTGTAACAGTTCACTGTTTTGTACAAACATTTCAGATCTTGAAAATGGCTGCAAAGAATAACTGTAGATCTGTAATATACATGAGAGACATCTCACCCCTGAGGCATTATACGCATTCAGTGAAACTCATTTCTATCATAGTGCTTCATAAACTGTTTATCATCACTGTTCTTCACTTTATTAATAATTATTACATCAACTTCTTATAGCTAGGGCTGGATGAAGTTTATAGAATCAAATGTGATTTATGTCTTTGGCTGCATCTTAAATTGTTTCAATTATCATTAATGCAGAGATTAGGTTATAAGAAAATAACTGGTCAATTATTGACAATGATTAATCAGTAATTGTCTGAATTTCTTGTTGACATATTTCTAGTACTGTCATGTTATGCCAAAACATAGACAAGTTAGAAGGCAAGCAAGGGGACAGGTTCAATCTAACTTAATTTCCCATTTTACTCTATCAGAAATTTATAATAATCACATAATGATCTACCACTATGTAAATGTCATATTCAGTTAGAAATGTAACACATTTCACCAAAAAAGCAACACACCTATGTGTGTTCAAAGTTTTAAAGACTAGTGAATAAATACGTACTCAACTTCTGAACAATATCCAATCTAAACATGCAGTGAAATAAGGACTAAGATTTAGTTTACTTTTAACAACCGAGATATCTTAGTTAGATGCACCAAGATATTTTTTACAATTAGCCTGTATACCTTCATAAATCCTGATTCAAAAGCACCAAGAACAAAAGACAAATTCCACCTATATGATAAATAGGTGCCTCCAAAAGAGGATAATTCTTACAGCCTCCAATGAAATTTCAATTTTTCGTTTTGTTTCTTCATTTTTCTATTATCCATAAAACTTTAAGAAAACTTTTTTTACACTTGGAATTGATACAGAAAACTCTTAGACATTTTGAACCCTTTTGAATGACTCTCAGATCCATATTTTTGCTGTTTTCCTCATAAGTGCCAACTGTGATGTATCAGTTACATATTTCATGGTGTTCAACTTAACTGAAACTTGTATACTTGGGATTTATGATTATTTTTCACTGAGGAATAAACTGAATTTTAGTTGAATCTCAACTTTTTGAATGAAGTTTACTATCTAGTATAAATACTGTTAATGTGTTAATTATTATAAATTTATATTGATATTGCATTAGTCCATTTCTCTGCATCTACTGTTATAATTTGTTAAATGTTCAGCTGATTTAAATTTTTTCAAAAAGCTTGAAATTTTGTTAGGTCATATACTTGATGATAACAATTAAAACTTGAAAAATTCTATTATGCCTTAGCACAGCTTGTGACATTTCAACATTTTGCAGCTAGAGTAGTGTTACTAAGGTAACTATTCAACTTCCTTCACCACACAGTAACTTTGGTGATAGACTAACATGATTTGTGATGTATACTTGAGTAATTGAGAACTAATCAATTTATAATATACATTCATGTTTCAAACATATATTGTATACTTTATAACATAGAACACATTAAATTTTGTAGAGTACTGTTAGGCTTAACAATCATGAATGAACTATCCTTAATTCTGAGGTAATAGTCTAAAAAGAATGCAGCTAGTCAACAACATCCACTGCCAAACCTTTGGCTGTTCTTGTCTGACCAAATAGTGTGGTTTGGCCATCACCTTTAAAGTGCATCCACAACCTCAAAATGGTGGAGCACATTTTTTGCAGCTACAAGTCACAAACCACAAGTCCTTAGATTCACAATCTAAACATGCTAACCACTAAGCCATGCTTACTTAAAATTGAATACAAAATTTCAAAAATAGATAAGTAGTAATGAGAAATCATTATATAATCAGAAAATGTAAGACAATTGATAAAAAAAACTGTTGTAGTATGACCAATACAAAGTTTTGTAAATGTTAAACAGAAACCTAAATGGTATAATGCATGACAAACAGTACACACAGACCACACTAATCTTGCTAATAAAAAAATAGAAAATAAAAAACTAACAGTCAACAAAAGCTGTAATAATATGATGAATATAACTTCACATATGGAATATGTAAGATATATTTAAGTTGAAACAGTAGTTGTTTATTTATCAACTTTATTTACATAACACCTACATGTAATCCTTGTTAAAAATATGAGTATTGTTGTAATGTGTTCTTTCACTGGACAGGTCCTTTTAAATTATTTAGTGAAAATAATATGAAGTCCACATAATAATAAATTAGTTTCTTTCTTTATGTTTTCACTATCAACAGAAATTTACTTTCTAATGATACTATGACTAATGTACAAATAAACTTACTTGTATAGTTTCAAGGCTAATCAATCAAGTAACTGAATATACACTATAACTACCTGATCTAAATACTGCGCTAGGAATCAAATAGATAAAGTACAAAATACACACAAAAAATTAACTTCCAACAAGTTATTTTCAATTACATAAAAAGCACGTTCATCAAACAAAACAGCTGATTGAAAATTAACTTGTTTGTATGAGCAAAAGATAGGGTTTACTAACTTATACAGTATATATGTGTGTGCGTGTGAAAGTAAGTGACAGCAATATATTTTTGGGGTAACTTTAACTGAACGTAGTAATAAAATTACAAAAATAAATAAATAATTTAAAGGAAAGAAAACAAGAAGCACACAACTTGAGAAAGATTTTCTGACAGTTGTACAGTTGCTGGGCTCATTGCCTAAAACTGTTAAGAAAGATTAAGCCTTTATGTGAAGTATGTGTGTACATATTAAGTAGAGAGAGAAATTTTTTTTTGCAAATGACACATGAATACTAAATGAGACACTTGGAGTGGTGAAGATTAAAAAGGTTCAGTAAAATTAAAGATATAACAACTTACCAATGAGGCAAAAGGAGCAGCACAGAACATCAAACTTGATGCACTGGCCATTAGTCCTGAAGCCTGGATTGCACTACTCTCATCTTTAGTGAGGTAAATAAGATAATAAAATAATCCACCAAGAAGAATTACAGTCCCAAGCAACTGTCTGTGCAATGTACTCTGAGGAAAAAGAAAAAGCCCTTCTTACATGCTCAGTAACTGGTATTCCAAATGTAAAATTAGCTACTGTAGCACTAAAAAAAAGATAATTATAAAAATGTGCCAAACCATACAGTACTTAATGTACACATTAAAACCAAAGAGCTATTTCATTTTGATTAACTTTACCTTTTTTCATATTTTAATATAGTCCAAATAAGAAAATGGCCATATCTTGGTTTATTTTGGCTGCTTTCTAATGAAATTGTGCCAACTAATTTTATGAAACTGTTTAGTAGGACACATTCTAATCATTATATCTTAGTAGTAAATATCAACTTGTAAAAAATACAAATAAGCCATTTCACTTGAATGATATTCACAGAAAAAAATCATCTTTTCTCTGTTATTTCTAAACAGTTACTTTTTTCCCTTGGAAAAAAAAAGATTAAAAGTAGGTAGAATATCAAGATCTGACAAGGGGTTTTCCCATAGTTTTAAAACAGGTAAAGAATTAAATATACAAGCCTCTTTCAGCTTTGGTAGATCAATAACGAGTGGCCAAATGTCTGAGGACTGAAGAGTTGCTTATGTTATTCCATCTTTTAAAGATGATGATAAGAGTTGCCTTGGAAATTAAAGGCCATTTAATTGTATTTCTATATAAAAACAAATCCTCGAAAGTCTAACAACATATGTTTTAAAAATCAATTAGAGATATATGATATTATAAAAAAAACCAACATATGTTTATCACAAGAAAGTATTACCTTACTAATCTTTTCTTTTCTTTGAGGATGTTACTTGTTATCTGGATGAGGGAAAGAGTGTGGACTTGGTGTACTTAGATTTTCAAAAAGCTTTTGGTAAGGTATTACACAAAAGATTTGAAAAAAAAATAACATTGGTGGAGGTTAGGGAAAGACTGGTTAATTGGATTATAAGGCAGTTAGATGGGGTTGAGAAAAAACTTGTTATTAATGAAGTATAGCCAAATTGAACCCTTCTTACAACTGGAGTATTTCAGGAATAAATGTCTGAGCCTTTGCTTTTTTCTTTTTGATATTAATGATATTTAAAAGGGTATTGTTAGTAAAATTTGCTAATAAAATTTTCCATTACCTTAGAAAACATTACTTGAAATGTTTCTAAATCAGACATTAAGAACCATGTAAAAAGGTAGAGAAGAACATCTATACAATGTATTAAAAATGCAGATTACTTTTAAACATATGCATACAAAATGATCCCATATAGATATTATGATCAAGCATGCGTTTTTATAGGTATAAATGTAAATGATACTAAGCTTTTGAATTTGATTTCTAGCCTATTATTTCCAGCCATCCATAATTGTTCACTGATAAACTAGAAATAAGGCAGTTAGTCAACAGCAGCCACTATCAACTCTTGCCTGACCAAATAGTGAAGTATGACAGTCACTTACAGCACACATATAGCACCAAAGTGTGGTGTGTATTTTTGCAGCAGGTTCACAGCCTAGGCCAGAACTATGTCTAATCGATTTACAAAAGCACTGACAATGTTTTTTTTAACAGTACAACTGATGGAATAAAATCCAATATTACCAAATTATTTTATATCATAAGATGTAATACAATAAGGATATCTTAAGAGTTTCATAGACTTACTTGCCTAATCTGAAATTACTTAAAATTATGAATTTATTTTTTAAGACTGTTACTTGAATGGAAGTAAATCCTAGCTATGAATAAAAAAAATAAAATTTCTTATGGATATTTCTAAAAAGTCACAATACTAAAATCATGTATGCTTCACAGTGTACAACAAAACACTTAAGATATAAAAACTGTGCATACCAAATATGCATACTATTTACCAGTATGTCCCTAAAAGAAATTATTCTTATTATACGTACCTGTATGAATATGTAATTTTACTAAATTAGTGTTTATTAATAATTAAGAGTCATTCATGAGTACATACCTTATTTAGAGTGAACACATAATACCACAGGACATAAATAGTCTGGAACAAAAGACCAATTGTATTGACAGAAATCACAACTGGATCTTTCACAAAAAGTCCATAACGAAGCCACAAAACACCACTGGAAAGAACAGCAAAAAAAGTTTACAATGAAGCCATTAACATTAGAAAAACTAAAAATACATTTTCTAAATTCATATTACATTTTAGTATGTCAGATATTTACTGAATGTAAAATATCACTTACTGGTAAAAAATTAGTAAAACAATTATTTTTCTTATCCAATGAACAATTCAATTGTGTTACGGTTTTGCAATTATGAGACAAGTGCAGATTTCACATGTACTAGTTACACTTAGCAATTACATTAAAATTTTCTGCAAAGTAGTATCCTACACTTCAAATTGAAAAAGGCAATAAGGTGGAATTTCAAACTCCAGAGATATCCTCAGGAATTTTATTTAACTCTGGCTCTTAACAGTTTATAAATTTCCTAACTCTTAGTTTGCATTGTAAGAACTTTATGTACTTATTTGCAAGAGTTGTAGAATTATTATTAGTCAATTATATACTGTGTATTTCAAATTATTTATTAAAAATTATGAACCAAGGCTTTTTGTAATATGACATGTATTTAAAGTGATGCCTTATTCATATTTATCGGTATATCATTTCAAGCTCCAGTACCTTGTGAAAAAAGCAATCTAAAAATATAAGAACAAGCCACATCATAAATATTTCTTGAGCAAGCACATGTACTTTAGTTGTGTTTTCAACACTACACATATAGTTACCCTTACTGTTTGCAGTTTCACTTCAGTGATGAGAACTGCATATGACAGCAAGAGCAAAACATTCAAAAGTAGATAAAAATACATACACGTGCAATGACTAAGTTAGTGGTCTTTTCATAGAATGAATAAGTTATTCATTGATATTTTACAAATGGTTAATAGCTATTCAATCATATACATTAATAAAAATAGACTAACAGTAAAATTATGTCAAATGTGACAAACAAGTTGAAAATTTTTTTGCTGTGATATACAGTAAACTAATGATGCTTTAAAAAATGTACAAGTACCTTTATGGTCAAAATTTAACAACTGGAGGTGTTAACCATGAACTTCAAAAATTAGCACTGTATAAAAATAGATTCATTGCCTTACAATGATGCAAATATTGGGTTTAAGATACACTCAACAAGTATTTTCAAGGTACAATGAATCTTCTGTTACATGTAAATATAGTTTTCACACTTTAAACTCATTCATTCAAGTAGAACAACTTACATGTATAGCTTGTGAATCTCAAAACACAAAACAAATGAAAAAACAGTCTGAAAGTATAAATAAAACATGCATCTAAACTATTGATAAACCATAAACTTGCATACAATACCCTTACCATAAGACACCTGCTAAAAATGGAAATGGAGATATATCTGCACTGGATCCCTTTCTCCAGATTTTTTTGCAAACAAATCTAAAGGAGAAATAAAGCAAAGATTACAGCTTCTAAGTGTTAGCTGGTGGACAAACATTACCTTACTGGAGTGAAAGTATAAAAATTAAATGATTTCATTTTTGGTTGGTGTATCAACTATGATCCAACACTTTAATGCTATTTTATTAATTTGTTTATTCTCCCTCAAAAAACTACTATATTAAAATATTTAAATCAACACACATCACTTCTAACTTATGATTATAAATACTTACGATTAAAGTTGACAAACTATCATTTTTTACATCCCCAATTCACACTATTGATGCAGATAATTCAGAACTAAAATATGTAACATTTAATGGGGACATTGCAGAGCATTTCCACTGACAGCCTGGTGTGTGGACTTTTTCTACACAAGGCAAATAAACTGCACTTTCATTAATAGCTTGTGGGTTATAATTCAGAATACTTTGCAAGTTGAAAATTATCTTATTTCAGTAATCTGTTGATCCCTAGTTTTCTTTATCTAGCATGTTCCTGTCCAAAACAGACAACAATGAATAGTTGCCTGCTTGAACTGTTTGTGAATTTCAAATAGATGTTCAATTACATACACTTATTAAGATAGATTAACTAGAAAATGTGACACGTTCAATATATTTATTCCTCAGCCAGAAAAATGTCCATTTACTACCATTCATCTCACTCCAAAAATATTTCATCTACTTCTTAATCTTTACTAATTCCATGAACATTCGATTAGGTATAAAAACCCACACTTTGAAAATAACAAGCCCTCCTCCCACCAGTAGATAACTTTCTACTGATTCATGTTCAGTTAAGCTCAAGGTTAAATTTAATATAACAGCTATTATAAATTTTGTATAAAACTTAAGACAGCAAAGTGGAAATACACATACGTTATGCACTTTTGAAACTTTAGTCACACTTTTCTAGCAATGGTATAAAGTTACTGTTAAAAAAGAAATGCTCAACAAATGTAACACACACTGGAGCTTTATCAAAACAGTAACTTGAATAAACACAAATTAAAAAATAAATAATAATTAATTACTTTACTTACTACTAATTTATTATTATTTTACTTTACTACACACACACACACACACACATATATATATATATATATATATATATATATGGGGGGGGGGGGGGATCAAGTATATTTTCATTTTCAATAACTGACCATATTGGCTTAAATTAAAATAAAAGGGAATGATTACTCATACTTACGCCCCACTGAAAAAGCTTGCAACAGTACATACAATTGCAGCATTTCCAAAAAATACTTTAAGGTCCATATTCCTTCCCTCTGTTTGCTCCCAAACTCTTTGTCAGTGAATTACTGAATTAGTGTATCACTATCAGGAACTAGTGCTAGCAATACAAGTTATAGTTATAAATATATGTTATAAAGAAAAATTAAAGCGCTGAAATTGAAAGTTGAAGATGAACTTATGTTTAAAATAACAAAGGTTACCCAAACCTTTGCGTCAATGTGTTATGCTGATTATGTGCAATGGCTTACGCACATTCTAAGATACGTGATAGACCAAACCTAGGTAATTCGTAGAATAGACACGTAGGCCAACACTGTACAGTTATCTTTCCATACGTTGAAATACACGTAGGAGTAAACATGCCTTCCTTCTTAACACTTCTTTCACCACCTATAATATTGGAAATCAATGTTATATTCTATTACAGTAAAGGAAATATAAATTTTTTATTACTCATTATTAAATCAACGAAGAAAGGAACTCTATTTCTTTAAACTTCCTAATACAAGCAACCATTTTCACAGTTTAGGATTTAAAAATTATAGGCTTATATATACGAATTTTTATGTTTATTAACTTATCAAATAATAAAATATATCACTTTTGATAATTTATTAACATCATACCGAACTGTTCATGTAAACTAAATTCCACAAAATTTCTACAAGATTAATTCACGTAATACCAGGGCTTTCCTTTATCAAAACCATGTATCCTCAATTAAAAAAAAAGCTTTTCTTTTTTGTTCTCCAAATAAAATATACTTACATGGTGTTAATTTTTAGTTAACAGTTTAAAATGTTTCTATTCCAACTAATCAAAACCACTTTGACGTATATTTTCAGGTTTTCACAGTGACATATATCACACAAGCTACATATTAAAAACACCTTCGTATACCCCCAGTGGCACAGTGGTATGTCTGCGGACTTACAATGCTATAAACCGGAGCACAGATAGCCCAATGTGTAGCTTTGTGCTTAATTACTAACAAACAAACAAAACCTTCGTGTACATTCTTGATTCTTCCCAATTCCAACTTGCATAAAATTAGCGTCTTCTAATACATTCTTTCATATGTGTATTCAGGTATACCATGTGTTTTTAACCATCTTATTTTAATATAGAACTTTTCAAAATGTTTCGATTGTTTTATGTATTTGCAGTTTTCGCATAACAATTGGTCAAGACAGTCTTTAAGTTGATTTTAATCTAGCTACATTTTTTTCTTTGTCATTTCCTTGGAGATAATACCTGGTCTGCCTATTGAAGGTTAGTTGTAAAGTTGCATCTTGCGTTTAATTGCAAAAAAAGTGTTTGGTAATTCCACTTTATAATGAGAGGATGGCATGATATATTACAAAGTAAACCTCAGTTTAATTACAAATTGAATTCAAGCTAAGAAATAAATAGACTGGACACAATGTGCAACATAAAATGAAAACATTTTTTTTATTTATGCAGTAGAAAAACACAGTGTGTGTATTTGCGACAGGGCAATAGCTAGTTTCTTTCTTCTGGATTTGTGAATTGGTCAACAGATTTCTTTTCTAAGATGTCTTCCTGTCAACCAACTCACTTCAGATCCTGTTTAGAATGATTAAGTGTAACGTATCTTACTTAATAGAAAATCTCAGTTTACCTATAATGATTAGTGTTCTCTACCTTACTGGTAATTCGCATTCATTATAAGGGAGGCCGTAAACCTCTAGATATCATTTGCCCTACCAGTAAGGAAAGTGGTGTTATTGACCTTCTTGCACAATGTACACCACTTTAGCATTATCACTTGTGAGTGGAATGCGTGTTTTATTTGGAGAAGAACAAAGGCAGCGAAAGCAGATTCAATTTAACGATTTTTAGGGACCACGTGCTATGCGCAAACTGTATAGACTCGGAATATGTTAAATATTTTTAAATTTCTACATTAAATAAAAAAGTAGAAAATAATGTATGCGTACATGCTACAACTTTCCATCCTCCTCTGTTTTGGACTTGTCCTCTCGAAAATTAATTTAAATCTACAATACGTTCACACGTGGTCAAGAAGCATGTTAAATTTCTCTCATCCTTATAAACATTTACATACAACTACGATGGCAACTCTTAAACAAGAGAACGACAACTCACAATCAAAAACCCTCTAACTATAATTGAAAATGTAGCATTATACACAACGAAGGAAAAGAAAACCTTTGTTAATACATTAATAGCAAAATGAAACATTTTAAGTAGTTAAATAATATAAATATATAAAAAACTTTATCAGTTAAACCTGCAATTCACACTTAATGAAGTCATAATAAAATGAAAAAGAAAACTATTGACAATTCAATACTACATAATAAAAACATACAGAACTTATAAAAATGGTATGATACATAGTACGAAAATAAATTTTTGGACAAAGATAACAAGCATACATACACACATAAATAAACAAGATAATATTTAATATCAGAAACATTATAAACTAAAAACAATTTTAATAAAGATTAACTACTTTCTTTAGGAGTGGATATCTTTATCAGTGAACCCGTTAACAGAGTAAAAAAATTTCCATACACAAACTAAATATCTACATTTCATTAAAACACATTATTATTTTTGCTCAATTACAAAATTATGATATTAAAGAAAATCACCCTTTTCAAATTATAATATATCATATTGACATTTTACATAGGTTTATACAAGACAAATATAGGAATGAAGAAAAATATAAATGTATACACAGATACATGTAATATTCTTTTAAATTCAAGAAACGTTACAAAATATATAGACTTAAATTAATACAAATAAATATTCAAATCTGTATATCCCTCAGAGTCAGAGCGAGGTTATGCTCTCTCTCTCACATCGACCATACCAGCAAGTTTTACAGTGCCACTGTTGTCTTGCAGTTGGTTGCCATGGTAGCTCTTAAGTCATCCTTGACTTTGACCAAGTTCCTCTTAGTTTCGGCCAGCTTAGCTCGCAAGCAGCATATCTCTTTCTTGAACTATGATGGAAATGTTACCCACCACCACTACCATAATTGATCTTCTCCTCTGTTGTAGAGTTCCCAATCCTCGGCCCAATTGGTGGCTGTCTGCTGTCAGTGTTTCTTGTAAACAGGAATCTGTTGTAGCATGGAGTGAATGGTCAATACCCTGGGTGGTTTGGGAGGGAGCTCTACCTGTGGCAATCTCTGAGTTTGTTTCTTGAGGTGCTTGGCTGGAGCTACCTTAGTGTCGACTGAGGCATAAGTTCCTCATCCTGTCTGGACAATTTGTAGTCCTAATGTTAATGTGGATGCTTCTTCATTGATAGCATAATCCTAGTGTGGTTATAAAGGAGGAGGTCACTCATGAGCGAGCTGACTCATCTGAATCATTATCGAGGTGGTTGTGGCAATGGTTAAAGCATTGGACCTGGTGGTTGGAACATCATTGGTGGCCAGCATAATTCAGGGATCCATACCAGCCTTCCTAGAGCTGGTCAATGCTCAAAAAGATCCAAGCTCCAGAAAGTTTTTCATAAGTTTAGGGATGTAGTGCACCCTACAAAGGTGCAAACATTTGTGACAACACTGATAGGACAATTTACCAGCGAGTTCTGTTTCTTCCTTCCCAGTTCTGGCTCCTCTTGTGATGGCATCAGCAGAGTTGATTATGTGATTGGTAATTGCCATAAGTACTTCACTGACCAATATGTCCAGTTGAGGCTGCACTTCCACGGATTTGTTTGTTTTGAATTTC